GTCCTTTGCTCCTGGAAGGAATTACACTCTGTATTGGTGAAGGAAGAGTCCAGAATACCTATCTGATTTAAGTTGGCTTAGGCTAAGATTCAGGGCTGAATTGGCTCCCCTTTCCTGAGCATCCTAACAGCATGAGAGAATGACAGAGACTACAAGAAGCAGTGAGCAGGTTAACAACTCACCCTCCAGGGCGTAAACCCACACATTCCCAGGGGTCCTCCTGAGTGACCCTGAAAAATTGTCTGCTTTCTGTTTCCTTCATTAAACACTGACCTCCCCAAATGTGTTGACCCTCGCATGGTCCTCTTCCATCCCAGGCCAGCACAGGCCCCCACATGCAGGGGGCACGCCATCCCAATGTTGCTTGGTTCTTAGGGATTTAGGCTGCTGCAGCGTGTGTACCCTAGGAAAGCAGGGGCGAGGGGTTGAGGGGGTAAGGGAAAGAGGTGGCCTGTCTGTGGACATGGTCCTTGGAAAAGGAACAAGCTGAGACAGTGTGATCTCCAGAGCCCAGCTCCACCTGCTGGTGTCCACATCTCCTTGGTCTAAAGTTTTGATCCTGATCAGAGTGCAGCTGCTGCAAGGCATGGTTAGGTGAAGGATCTGCATGAAAATGGATGTGAAGGTGTAGAGAGAAGAGAAATACAGATGGAGAGAAGGCACAGAAGAGCAAGGCTGAGCATCCTCCATATCACAGTGAACCGGGCCCACCATCAGCCCTCCTGTTGTCTGCAGGCAGGAAGGGCAGCCCATCACCTCAGCCAGCCCAGTCCTGCTCCCAGGGGAGGGGCTGACATTACACAGGGACTCACTGTCCTCCCACCAGGATGCCCATGGAACTCCAGAAGCCACCAGTGCTCCACAGCACCCCCTCTCCAATTCTTGCAGTGTCATCCCTAGTCTCACCCTCCTGGGAGTCCCTGCTGCCTTTCACCCTGGCCTGCTGGCTCCAGATGCATCCAGCCGTCTCAGGGGTAGCTCACGCAGATTGATTCTTGCCACAAACATAGCCCGTGGGTAATTAAAAGATATCTGCAGGGATTCAGCTGTTCCCCAGCCCATGACCTCCCACCTAGGCAGACAAAAGAGTGGAGCCGAACAAAGAGGCAGGCAGAGAATACACTGCAGGTAGAGGTCCCGTAACAGGGTGGTCCCCAGGAAAGGGGGAGGTTCCAGGTTCCCTGACCCACCCAAATGGAGGGTGGAGCTGAACAGGGAGAAGAGAAGCTGAAGAGGAGACTGAGGAAGGAAGCAGGATGGAGAGCCAGAAAGAGACCTAGAGGACACACATGGAGCCTAGAGACACGTAAAGAAACTGTGCTTGTCTTTTGGTCGTGGACTGGGTGACACAGATATGGGTGAGACCCGTGGGGAAGAAACAATGACAGCTTTTATTTTGATTTTAATTTTGCTCTTTTCCTTCTGGGCTTGTCTGGTTGTTTCTGACCCTTTTCTGTGGGTCCCCACTGGAAGATGCTTTAGACTTGAGGCAGGCTTTAAGGCCTTGCTCTGGGCCAATCCCATTTAGATAAAGTTTTACCCACGAGGGAACGGATAACTTTGGGCTCTTGATTTAAAAACTAAATTCTTTGCCTTTCCTATATTGTTTCCAAATTATATTAAAGTTCCTTCCCATTAAAGTCTCATATGTTTTGTGTTGATGGGACAGATGGCAGAACCCATTTAAAATAGACAGCTTTCAAATGCCCCAAAATAGATGACTGGATCAAGAAGATGTGGTACATATACACCATGGAATATTACTCAGCATTCAAAAAAGATAAACACATGCAATTTGCAGCAACATGGATGGCGCTGGAAGGGATCATGCTCAGCGAAATAAGCCAGAAAGAAAAAGAAAAATACCGGATGGTCTCACTCATAGCAGGAATCTAGAAAACTTAAACAAAGGACCAGGAAAAAGAATAACTATAAGAAAGTGAAAATCAAAATCAACAAAAACTATGAACCAGAGACACTCTATGGGGGGTGGGGGGCGGGTAGGGGAGGGATTGGGGTCAAAATAAGGGGGTTGCAATTGTATGGGGAATATAAAAATAAAATTTATTTAAAAAATAAAATAGACAGGTTTGCGAGGTTTAGGCTGCCCCTCTCCCTGTCCTATAACAGTCCTTTCTCTCCTGAAACTGCCCCATCCAGGAGCCCCTGCCCACCCCAAAGAGAAACCAAAGCAAAAACCTTGAAGACCAAGAAAGCAGTGCCCAAAGATGTCCACAGCCACAGAAAAGGAAAAGAAAAAGAAAATTTGCATGTTACACACCTGCCCACTGCAAAGGCAACCAGGAGAAATAAACTTGACCACTTTGCCATCATCAGGTTCCCCCAACCACCAAATCAGCCACGAAGAACTCAGAAGACAACACACTTGTGTTCATGTGGACGTCAAGGCCAACAAGCTCCAGATCAGACAGGCTGTGAAGCAGCTCTATGACATTGTCATGGCCAAGGTCAGCACCCTGATCGGGCCTGATGGAGAGAAGAAGGCATCTGTTCGACTGGCTCCTGATCTTGACGCTTTGAATTTGAATGTTGCTAACAAAATTGAGATCATCTAATGTGAGTCCAGCTAGCTAATTCCAAACATAAATTTTTTCACCATTAAAAAAAAAAAGAAGAAGAAGACCGGGCCTCCCCGGTGGCGCAGCGGTTGAGTGCTGAGTTGCGAAGCTGCCCGCAGCCTCTGCAGCACCGGTTCGATGCCCGGCTGCTCCCCGGCCACCAGAGGAGGGTCCCACATGGCGCGCAGACCTCTCCTGCCGCCCGCTGCTCCCCTCAGCAGTGTACTTTGGTCCTGCCTGCTCTGCTCCCCGCTCTGGCTCTGGTGAATTTTCTCACCCTCCTGCGCTTCTGACTGTACCCAGTGCTTGTATAAATAAATAAATAAATAAATCTTAAAAAAAAAAGAAGAAGAAGAAGACCTTGAGCTGTACAGCTACCTAGGACACCCTCTTTGGCTAAGCCTTATAAACAGGCAGGCTTCTCACTGGCCTCTCAACTTGCAGAGTCCCTCCTTCCTGGAGACCTGCTAAGAATAGGAGTCACAGCTCACTCCTTCCTGCTGCGACCTGAGCCTGGGGGTCAAGAGAGGCAAGTGATTTAATCAAAAGCCTCAAGGCAGCGCTGACACCACCCACGCTCACAGCACCTCCTCCCACCTCCTTGATGGCACTCTTACACCTCATTGTATGACTGAGGTCAGGTCCGATTCCCCTCATAGACTGGTGAGTCCTTGATCACGGCTTAGTAACCTCCTAGCAACCGCTGTCAGTTTCCTGCCCAGGACCTAGTAGTGTCTGGGGGTGCCCGCAGACATCTGCTCCATGAGAAGCAGAAGAGATGGCCAGAGACCCAGCCTGGTAGGTCTTCCAGGCAGCTGCTTCTCTCTGAGTGTCTTTCCAGCTGCAGTGACTGCCCCGGGGGCCTCTAGCTGACAAAGACCTTGAACTCATCAAAGGGCAAGAGAGGGAGGGTCTCCACCCCCCCCCAAAGTTTGCCTCAGAGGCCAAAACATCTAGCACAGCTGTGAAGAGCAATGATTAGCAGGATAGAGAATAACTGTTTCCAAACTCGCCACCAAAGACATAAGTAGATTGGTATAAATGACAGTGTTCAGTATGGGCAACACTCAAAACATTTAATGACCAGCAGAGAGTATAGTTAAGTCAGAAAAGTCACCAGCCAGAGACCCTGGCCAATCCAGCCAGGAGCACCCTGAATAGCTGTCTAGGGGTAGCAGAGAACCATCCCAGGAAGATAATAGTTAGCAACAAGGAAGACAGACTTAACAGAAACAAAATTGAGATCATCTGAAGAGAGCCCAGTAGCTAATTCTAAATATGTTTTTTCACCATAAAAGAAATAATGGAACTTAGGTTGCACAGATGCTCTGGAATCAATACCCGCTTTGCTTAAAGCATTAACTAGCGGTTTGGGTGTGACTCTAGCCCGTCCTCTCCACCAGTTCCTGCTCTTTGACAAAGAACATTGGAAGGAATGATCTCAAGCCCTTTCAGCTCTGACATCCTAGAACCCTATTTTTTCATGCCTCACAGATCACACCTGGTAACCAGTAAAGCACACACCTGTGCAGAGTTAGCAAGGCCGTCACCAGCCTTTGTCCTCAGCTACAGAAGGGTGGGTCCCTGCAAATCAAAGCTCAGACGCTCCTTCTTCCTTTGAGGACTCCCAGAGACCATGTAAGTCCTCATCAGTAGATGAAAGACACCAGGTAGAAAGGCTTTGAAAAAGGCC